ATCGGAACTCAGTGACAACATGAGAAGGGCCCGATCTGACCTAATCTTGGGCTCTCCAGGGAGACAGGTCCACAGGAACAGACAAAACGACAGGTCTCGAGGTCCCAAATAGACAGAATACGGGGGTTGAAGTGGGTTAAGCCTCCTTTCCCATCATCTCCCCTTTGACATGTCATGTTGGCACCAGTCTCTCTTCCAGACTCCCCACCTTTGTCCTCCTTTGTCTTTTTCTCCCACCTCCCCTCCTCTCCTTTCCCTTTCCCTTCCCCTTCCCCTTCCCCAGACAGTTGCTGTTTGCCTACTGTGTGCCTAGATCAGGGATCAGCTCACCTTTTCTGTAAAGGGCCAGATTATATTTGTTTTAGGCTCTGTGAGCCATATAGTCTCTGCTGCAACTAAGCTCTCTTCTGGTGGCATAAAGCCACTTAAAGAATAGGTGGGTGGCTGTGCTCCTGTGAAACTTTATTTCTAAGAACAGGTGGTGGGTCATACTTGGCCATCGGCCACAGTTTCTTGACCCTTGTTGTGGGTGCTGGGGATATGGAAGTGAGTAGGCAGACAAGTTGCCTTCTCCTGCAGACAGCAAAAACAAAGCGGGACAGTGAGGTGAGGGGCATTTTAGATCGGGCTGTGTGAGGTTCTGAGGAGGTGACAGCTAAGTTGGAAACTAAATGAAAAGGAGCCCTCTGTGTGAAAATCTTGGCCAAGGGGGAGTAGCTGGTACAATATGGGGTTCTGAAACCCTTCACTCTAATTTAGCCTTCCTCTGCTGGACTCCTCCGACAGTAATCTGGGTGACTGATTTCTTTTTTTCTTTTTTTACATTTTTTTTTTAATGTTTATTTATTTTTGAGAGAGAGAGAGAGAGATAGCATGAGTAGGGGAGGAGCAGAGAAAGGCTCTGGGCTCTGAGCTGTCAGCATAAACCTGACATGGAGCTTGAACTCACAAACTGTGAGATCATGACCTGAGCTGAAGTCGAACGCTTTACCAACCAAGCCACCCAGGAGCCTCCAGGAACCTACCTTTTAGAGTTATTTATTTTTTTTCTAGTTATTTTTTAAGTAACCCCACATTTTCCATAACTTGGAAAGAATATATGTTTATTATAGAAAAGATGCAGAAACCTATAACTAATAAAGTAAAAAGCACCCATAATCCCTCTACTCATTGCTGACATTTTGAAAGACTTCCTCCCAGATTTTTTAATGTTTATTTATTTTTGTGTGTGAGAGAGAGAGAGAGACAACGTATGAGTGGGGGAGGAGCAGACAGAGAAGGAACTGCAGAATCCGAAGTAGGCTCCAGGCTCTGAGCTGTCAGTGGGGCTCAAACTCACAAACTGTGAAATTGTGACCTGAGCTAAAGTTGGACACTTAACTGACAGAGACTGACAGAGCCACCCAGGTGCCCTCCTTCCTAGATTTTTTTATGCAGATATATTTATTTTACATAATTGGGATTATAGCATACTCTGAAATCCTGATTTTGCTGTGGGGACTTTCCAAGGATGAGTAAATATTTTTCAGAAAGTTGTCTTTTTTTTTTCAAGTTTATTTATTTTGAGAGACAGAGAAAGGAATGGGGGAGGGGCAGACAGAGGGGGAGAGAAATGATCCCAAGCAGGGGATGCAGGGCTTGAACTCACGAACCATGAGATCATGACCCGAGCTGAAACTGAGTCAGATGCTCGACTGACTAAGCCACCTGGGTGCCCCAAAAGCGGTCTTTTTAACAGCTGTGTGGTATTTCATTATACACAGGGGCCATGATTTATGTAATCATTCTGGTTAACATGTTTCCCATTTTTTTTGCTATTAAAATGATGTTGGGTGAACATGTTTATATATCGCTTTGTATGTATCTCAATTTCTTTGAAATTAACACTATGTTTGTCTTTTTTCTCTTTTAATGAAAGAAATACATGCTTCCGATGACTCGATTCCATTCTTTTCTAGGCTTCTAGCAGTGCGGGGAACTTGGGTGTACTCATTCCTGTAATCGCTGTGGTGAGTGTTCATTAACTGAGTGGTTTTATTTTCATTTTTTATTTTTTATTTTTTTGATATATGAAATTTATTGTCAAATTGGTTTCCATACAACACCCAGTGCTCATCCCAAAAGATGCCCTCTTCAATACCCATCACCTACCCTCCCCTCCCTCCCACCCCCCATCAACTGAGTGGTTTTAAACTTCAGATACCGTGACCATATTTTCAGTGGTGCCTAGTGGTACACCGCAAATTCCTTAGCAGAATGCTGCGTGGAGGCCGCAGTGATTCTGTACGTGTGCCACCTCCAGCTGTTCTGGAGGTGTTTCTGCCACCTACAGCTGTTCTGGGACTGTCCTATTGGTAGGTGCCTGTTGTGGCCATACCACCTCACTCCCTTTCTCCGTGCTCTGCCTGAGCCGCCTCGCCAGTTGACCAGGAAACGCACTGTGGTTCCCTCTTGTGTGGCTCCCAAGTCTGAGGTGTGACTCTGGGTTTGTCCTGTGTCTCACAACCTGTTCTGGTGCCTCTGACTGACAGTGGGCAGGCTCTGCTTCCATCCCCTCTCGGTCCCCTCCAGTGAGATGAGTCCTGGGGCCTCTGCACGGTGCCTGGTTCTTGGAGCTGCAGCCCTCAGTGCGCTCCGTGGGGGCATTGTTGACACAGTGGGCTGGTCATACTTTGGGGTACAGTCCCGCCCACTGCCATGGTAGGCAGCTCCCAACATAGGCCCCATCCTCTGCCATAGCACTTCCATGGTGGAGAGGCTGTCTCCATTTTGTCCTGTCTTAACCTACAGCCACCTCTTCCCATATGACCTTTGTAGAAGTTGTTTTCCCCTTTCTCCGTTCCCAGCTGCCAGTCCTAAGTCAGGGCCCCAGGTTCTAGTATTTGTTTTCATCTGTGATTCTCTAGCTTCCACTAAATCTACCTTCTAGTTAAGCCCTTGATTCTGCCTTCCAGTTCCTTCCCACTTCACCCCACCCCCAGTAGTTTGACTCTTGAGCACTCACATGCATGTCCCTTCACATGGAACGCCAGAGGGGCTGACCTCCCAAGCTGCCAGGGTGACCCAGGGGCCTAGAGGTCAGGCAGGTGGACAGAGAGGCACCTCTGCTGATCTAAGTTTCTGTACTTATTGCATTCTACATCATCACTCAGAATCTGGGGACCTTAGATGTCTGATTTTAGCTGGCCAAGGTGGGTGAAAAATAACAAACCGACTGGTTTGTTATCATTTACCTTTAAGATGTCACAGGTTGCACATTGTGGTGCATTCTGCTTCTATTCACCTTCCTTCTGCCTGTCCTTTCCTCTCTCCCTCACCCTGTAAGTAGCCAATTCTGGAGCAGGAGCTGACTTGCTTGCATCTGGGTCAGGACAGTCTCCTTTTCCTGAATGTGCCTGAGGGGACAAGGGGGCCTACAAGTTTGCTTGTGTAGCTTCCACCTGTAGCTGCCTCCCTGTAATCATGGCTTTTCACTTCCCTTTGGGAATTTTACCACCTTCATACCTGCGATCAGGTGCTCTCCCACAGGCTTTGAGGATTTGAGAATGGCCAAGACTCTCAGCCACAGTATTTTTCATCACCATCTCCATTGGTTTTTAAAAACATAAACATTTTCTCTTTATACTTGATATTGACTAGTGTACAATTGTGTTTTAGAAGTACCACTGTACATGGATCCTTTGTTTGGATGGAGGGAAAGGTGAGGGGCATAAAGTCCATGGCACTCTTCTGGCCTATTAGAGGCAAGAAGGGCTGGTAGCAGGCTCCATGAGAGAGCAGGTTTTGGCAGCCAGGGAGCATGTTTGGGGTGACACTCGTTCAGTGAATTCTAGTGAGTTTGAACACCAGAATTCTGTGACCCAGGCACATGGGTACAGCATGTGTAGCTGTTATCATTTAGAGTTTAAATAAATGCATAGAAGAAATTCATAGAGGGCACTCTGCACTTCCTGGGAGCAATGACTGATGAGGTTGGTTGGGAATACATAGGGTTTAGGATCACAAGCGTCGGGGTTGGACTCCTGGTACTGTGTGTGTGATCCTGGGTGAGCATCACAGCTTCTCTATGCTTACTCTGCTCACAGAGCTTCTCAAAAAGATGGAGATGAACCTCTGAAGTGCTGGGTCAGTGTAGGCATGACTGTTAGCAGTGATAGGCAAGCACACACTCACTTAAAATACTTTGTTTACTCCACTGCAGTGACCTTTTACGTGAATAGAATAAGTATTGTAGTCTTAACAAAAGTTAATGGTTATATTATGGGGGAGGAAACAAATATTTGATTCTATTGCTCAACAAAGAGCACAGAGATCATGGGATCTTGTATTTGCTTTCTGGTTTACCCCTTGGACCCTCTGGGAGAAACTAGTTTCCAAAGCGTTTTTTAAAGAATGTTTGCCTTTCTTTCTTTCTTTTTTTCCTTTCTTTCCTTGCTTTTGGAAAAAGGTACTCTGTTTTGCATCTTTTGATGAGTGTCTCCAAGTACTTAGTTCAGTGGAAGAACCAGTGGGTTTGGGGCAGGAAGCCTGGGTGTCTGTTCAAATGCAGCTTATCAGTGACTTATCAGTAACCTTAAGAGTCTGGAGGGAGTCACTGGAGGCCAGGTCATGTGATCTCTGAGGCTCCTTCAGAGCTTAGGTTTGGTGATCTTTGACCTGCAAGTTTGTGAAAAGTATTTCTTTAGAAATATCCTGATTAAATTGCTTCTCTTGGTGTCTAGCCAAGGTGTTAATTAAGCACCTTGAAAGGTATCTAATGCTTAGAGTCCTGTGTGCCCCACTGTCATAAACCAGTGATTTGATAAGATATGCTTCCTGCTCAGAAAACATTTGTGCACTTCACTGAGAGTTAGTTTACCTGTGCCACTAGTCATTTTTGTAGCCTTGGGCAGGTTATTTATTCTCTCAGTGCCTGTAAAATTAGGTTTGTGAACTGACAGATTTTAGGTCATGGACTCCTTTGAAAGCCTTGCCCTCTCTTTTCCATAGAAGGGCATTTCTTCACAAGATTTTGCATTTAATCTCAGGAAGTTGAGTGGGAGAAACCCACCCAAGGACCCCCAGTTAGGAACCCTTGGGCTAGGTACTTTCTCATCAAAGATAGTAATAAGAAGGCCTTACCTAACTCTTGCTAAGCACCAAACACTCATGTAAACCCCTTCCAAGCATTAACTCCCTTAATTTTTATAACAATGCTGCGAAGTAGGTGCTGTTATTATCCCTATTTTACAGGTAGGGAAACTGAGGCACAGAACTTGCCTCAGCGTCCCACAGCTGCTAATTGTCAGAGCCAGGGTTGGGACTCAGGCAGCCTGGCCCAGAGTCTGTGCTTTGAATTAATACTCTATGGCCTTAAAACCTGGATCAGCTAGTTTCTGAAAAAGGGGGTCTGAGTGCATTCTGAGTGGATGTAGGTGAATGAAAAGCATGGAGGTTGGAGGGCCTTGACCTGGGCCAGGTCACAGAGGAGGGCTGGCTCCAGCAGAAGTGGGACAGGTCACATTGGAAGGGAGACGGCTGCCTTTTGGATAGGGGACAGGCATGGCAAAGGGCTACAGGCAGAGTTTTTGAGAGAGCCACATTTAGGAATGGGAGGGGCACGAGGAACCAACAGGAAAAAAAATGCAGGGCAAGCATTTCCTGAAAGGACTGTGTGGAAGTGAATTGGAGAAAGAATTCAAGGAGTGGGGTGTCAGCAAGCTCAGGGCTTCCCAAGAGCACAGGAGACTGTGATAGGGAAAGACATAGCCTCAGTCCTGCTATGGAGGTGGAGGCTCTGGTGCAGGAAGCTGGGAAGGAAGCAGGTAGAGAGGTGTATTAAGAGTTAACAGGAGGGCCTGGGACAGATCATGTTTCCTCTGTGATCTTTAATTGTTTCTTCAGCTGCTAAAAGAAGATGGTAACAGCTTGAACCCCTAGAGCTGGTATGAGGACTCAGTGATAACCTGCCTGCACACCCATCACAGCGCCCCCTACCACGGGGAACATGAGGTGCTCTGCTTTTGCTGCCCCATAACTGGAATTGGTCTCACTGGGTCTAAAACCCTCTATGACAAGACTCCACGGGTGACCCTGGAGTCAAACCAACCTGTGCTCAAACCCTGGTCTTCCTCCTCTGCAGAAAAGGGAAGAGAAAAATTCTCCTGCAGGGCTGTGGGGGTCAGAGTTAGCCACACAGCACTTGGGATGCTCTCCCTGTCACTGCCCAAATCCCCAGACTGCAGAGGTGCCCCCACTCTTGAATTCTGAGCAGCCTTTTTGGATTCCACTCGTCTTATCCAGGTAACGAAGGATCTGGAAACATATTCCTCAGATGCCACCTGTTTTCTCAAACCAGACCTACTATAGGAAGTTGTCTGACGGTCTCCCTGTGTCCAGGGATAAAGCTGAAGCATGTGCCCCACTTAAAGACTAGCATTTCAGGAATTTCCACAAAGCCCCATCCACAACATCTTTGCCCCCTCACTCACCACATCCTGATCCTGAGGAACATGCCCCATGTGTAGCACATAAGTCACTGTGAAGAACTTAAGTTGCTTATTGTCAACCTCTGTCATTCCTAGGGATGTCAGCTGTTTTGAATTTGGCTTTTCTTAGTTATTTGAGCCTCAATAGAGAAAAAATAGAGAATTATAACAGACACAGTAAAAGTGGCGATATGTATTTATCGCTAAGGTAGGAAGCATGGTGCCATGTGTACATGCTGTCTTCTGGGCAGCAGTGAGGTGATAGCAGAAGTATAGATGACATTTAGCATCAATTCGGAAGGTTGAACCTTGAGAGAATGAAGCGCTAGCACCCAGGGCACCCCTTAAATGTCATGAGGTTGCTTCTGTCCTAGGCACCAGCCTTGGGAGAGGTGAGAAATTAGTCCTGCAGCTCATTTCTGTGTTCTGTGTTCAGATGAGGAGCGCTGGTAATTTGAGTAATAGAGCCAAATGCTCAAGGACGGGGACTGCAGGGGAAGGAGGTGTGCAGGCAGGACCTCCACAGGTTTGCACTGAGGAGGAGGAAGTAAACCCATCTGTATGTTGTTGACACCCTCTAGGTAACAGCTGACATGTCACAGGTACATTAACTTCTATGAACTGCTGGCATTATTCACTGTGCTGAACTGATTCCAGTGAGCTTCTTGGTCGTTTGTAAATTTCTTGTCTCCTATGGGCCTCGATTTCAGAATGGTAGCATAAACCATGAAAGCCATGATGGCAAAACATCTCCGTTCTCATTGTTAGAATGGAACCAGAATTACAGAGTGGCCCCAAAACACTTGAAATGCCCAGACCTCCACCTTTAGGACTTGGTGGGGTTGGCAACTCTCCCCATGAAGAGTAGGCAGCTGGTGCGGTGCTCATAGATGAGGAACAGAAAGGGGCGGTCGACAGTGAAACGGACTTGGGTAGACAGTGGCATGAACCCCACAGTGGTCACGGCGGCAGCTTGGGTGCCCTCTTCGTTCACCATGATGGTACCTTGGTGCTTGAACTGTTTGAAAATGGAAAGGAAAGTTGTCAGATCCCATCAGTGGGCACACAGAGGGATAGAGAATAGAGTGGAGTCTCCTTTCATTCAGGGTGGAAAGACCACATACAAGACCCAAACCACAGCTGGTCAGAAGGACCCTTGAAGGTCTTGCTCACCTCCTTCCAGGTGCAGTAATTGTGCTCAGAAGCTGTGTTGTGTAAACTGTGTATCTTTTTTTTTTTTTAATGTTTGTTTATTTTTGCAAGATTGAGAGAGACAAATTGTGAGTGGGAGAGGGACTGAGAGAAAGGGAGACACAGAATACGAAGCAGGCTCCAGGCTCTGAGCTGCCAGCACAGACCCTGATATGTGGCTCAAACTCACAAACCATGAGATCATGACCTGAGCCAAAGTCAGACATTTAACCAACTGAGCCACCCAGGCGCCCCTAAACAGTGTGTATCTTTAAACTCCAACATTACAGTCGCTCATAGTGGTGACAGTATGAGTGGTCTGCCAGCAAGAGAGCAGCTCTAGGTGCATTGCCAGAAGGGTTGGGCCTCGATCAGCACGTTGTTTGGACTGGTATTCTCTCTTTTTTTGTGTGAAGTGTCTGTGGTTGTGTTAAGTTCAGCATGCAGGTCATGCAGTGTCTCTGCATGTATTTAATGAGCCTTTCATGATTCAGCTGGGTGTAGGTATTTCACAGATTGGAGCACACACCCCATCTCTTTCTGCTGTCAGTGGGGATGGGGGCTACCATGGTGCTCCCTAAAACAGACTACCCTGCCCACTCAGTGCCTGACAGACCCAGGGAGAGCAGACCCAGCACCCCTGAGCTGTGAAGTCATGTGAGGCAGGAGGGAGGCTTTGCTGGGGGAAGATCCTGGGGTCAGGTGCAGAGGGTGGACAAGGGGAGAGATTACCAGATCGATGGTGATCCTGTGGTCTGAGATTCCTGCCATATTGCTGTCTTTGTCAAACAGCGCTGTGACCCCCATTGACTTCAGGGCCTCCACCAGGTTGTAGTTCTTCTCCAGCTTGAATTTAGGCAGAAGCACCTCTCGAGTTCTGATCAGAGAAGGAAAGGGGGCCCAGTTTTATTGAACCACAAGTTATACAAGAATCATGTCTTTCCCTCAGATGTCCACAACCTACCTTTCTCCCACCAACCCCAGGTTGTTTTTACCACAGAAATAATGCAGCACTTCTTAAAATTCACATCCTAGTACTGTCAGTTGAGGATTTGAGAGAGACCTTCCATTATGATTCCAGTTCCTTAAAATGGAGATATGGTTAGTACTGTGCAGTCATTTCCTCCATACTGTGGGATTCACATCCTGCCTTCCTGGCCAGCAGCAGAATGGTTACTGGTTTATGGTTTGAGGGTATCTAAAATAATTCTCTTGTTTGGGTCCTTGATTTTAGGCATTTCTTATTTTGTTAAGTAAGCAATTAAATATCTGGTCAGTGTACTGAAAAAAGAAGCCTTCGTTTGCCAGACAGTGCTAAATGTTCTCAGTCCTTGCCTCAACACATTCAGTCCTTATTGATAAACAGCAACTCTAGTGCCCATAGGGCCAAGTCCAGCACATGAAGGAGATAAAGAGGACATCAGGCATGGTCCCCCTTTTCAAGAGTTTGCTTCCCTTTTACCAAGCCAGTACTCACATGTGTGAAGCAACAGAATTGTAAAGGTGGTATGATAATGTCTGAACAACTAGAATAGATCTAAGTACTGGAGCCATCCAACAGGGGATGGGGAGGAGGGATATTCCTGTGGCCTGGAGGCTGCCCACAGCTTGAGAGATGGTATGAGCAAAGCCTGGAGGGAGCTTAAGGCTGTGGTATGGCTGGGGTACAATGGGGCACTTGGCAGGAGCAGGTCAGATGGGGGCTGTGTCTTTGGGCCTAGCCAAGAAGCTAGGCCACATCCCATGGGCAGGGGGCCCACAGAGAGCTTATGAGAAGAGGAGGTGGAGTGGGAGGGTGTTTTGGGAATGCTGTTTGGAGGCCAGTGCGGGGTGGCTTGAGGAATGGAATGGACAGGCTGGTTAGGCCTTCCTGGCTCAGGGTAGGAGGTCATGGCAGTGAGGTTAAGAAGGATGCAGACACAAGAGGGACTTTTTTTTTGTTTTCTTTTTGAGAGAGAGAGAGAGAGAGAGAGAGAGGATCTCAAGCAGGCCATATGCTGAGCTCAGAGCCCAACATGGGGCTCAATCCCATGACCCTGGCATCATGACCTGAGCCGAAATCAAGAGTCAGATGCTCAACCGACTGAGCCACCCAGGCATCCCTCATTTCTTTGTATTTTTGTCCCAAAAGGAAATCTGAACCAAATTCATATCTTAATATGGGCCTAGCCAGTATTAAATAAAGCAGAAAAACAACTTTTTTATTCTTTCTGCCATGATCCTCTAATAGTCATAGTAAATATTTAAAACCTGTAGTTTTGTCTATGGAGTAATAAATAGTAAGAGGAAAATCATGAATGACATGTCCTTAATAGGCTACAAGGACCACAGGATTTCCTGCTCAGGAAAGGGAAAGCTCATCTTTGTTGAACACCTCTCAGGCACCAGGCGCTGTGAGGGATGCTCAATATTACATTTCTATTTATTTCTCTCTGTGACCCTGGGAAATCATGGAATCATGCTACCTTTACGGATGACAAAGCCAGGGCTCAAAGCCACAGAGCAACTAGATGGCAGAGCCAGGATTGTTTCCATACTGGCACAAAGTCACCTGCCCCTCACTTCTGAAACTGTCATAGGGAAGGCAGATGTGTTTCTCACAGATGCTTTCTGATTACTTCTCACTGAGCAGGAAATTTGGTCTGAATTAACAAGAGTGACCCAGTGTAACAGTTCTTGTTTTTTTTGTGCACACAGCTTCCTTCTTAAAATGACCAAAGTTCCCAGTATTCCTGGGCTCTCCCAGCCTCCCAGAGATCAAAAGAACATTCAACTTAAAGTACCTGTTTGTCATGCTTTTCTGCCATCTCTCCACCACCTGTGGTGTCAGCTGTGTCTCAAGGGTCTTCATCCCAGACAGCTTGTGAGGGACCACAATTAGCATGCTGATGCCCCCCACATACTCCAGCCGCAGGACATCACAGTCCAGCTCCTGGTCATTTGCGGCCAGAAAGTTCCCCTTGGTCTGCATCATGGAAACTTTGACTACTTCTCGTTCATTGAGTCGGAAGTTGTGGTTGTGTGTCATTTCTACTGGGAATTTATTCACCCAGGATCCTGTAAAGTCAACAAGAACAAGGCTTTTATTAAAATGTTATTTT